ACATTGAAAACTGACTTTACAGCATTTGAAACGTGGTCGTTACTGACATTGAAAACTGGTTTTACAGCTTTTAGTTACCTTGAGACGTGGTTACTGACATTGAAAACTGACTTTACAGCATTTAGCTACTTTTAATATACTGTATTTTATCCTTACTAGCAGAAACACCACCCTACGGGCAGCTGTTTGTGCTAGTATTTAGTATTGGTTTGGTTTTGAATTTTGCGCAAAGCTAGACGAGAGATATCTGCGCTAGCCTTCCCTAATCTAGCAGCGAAAGACTAGAGAGAAGGCAGCTAGTCATCACCACCCACCGCCAACCCTTGGGCTACTCTTTTAGCAACGAATAGTGGGATCGGCCGACACATAATAACGCCCCATGGCTGAAAGGGCGAGCATGTTTGGTGGGACGGGGATTCGAACCCACGACCCACAGATTGTGAGTAGAGCGCCCCCTAACCACCTGGCCATGCCAGGCTAACGCCCCATGGCTGAAAGGGTGAGCATGTTTGGTGGGACGGGGATTCGAACCCACGACCCACAGATTGTGAGTAGAGCGCCCTAACCACCTGGCCATGCCAGGCTCAGTATTTAGAAATCGTAGTATTCATACGTCATTGTAAAATGTGAACATGTTCTAAAAAAGTTTTTTTTTTCTGGGAAGTACTGCACGGGAAGATTGTTCGGGTTGTGCTCTTTAGTCATATGGCACTTATTGCATCAAATGATTGAATATATAATCAAAAAGTCGTGACAAACAGTTTTACGTACCTTGTGTGAAGCCCAGAAGAAATATTAAATAAATTATACTAAATCGGAAAATGTCCCCAACCAGCATGTTGTAAATCATGGTGACAAATGGTCCTGTCAGTTTAACAGCCCTGCAAGAAGAAATATTCAGAATCAACCATGTTCAAACAAGTGAATTCACAATGTACATATACTGTAATAAACAGTCTGGAAGAACAGGGAGGAAGTCGTAATCTACCACGTTCAAACAGTTCAGTTTCTGTTCTTCATATACTGTTATATTCAGTCTGAAAGAACAGGAAGGAAGTCAGAATCTACCACGTTCAAACAGTTCAGTTTCTGTTCTTCATATACTGTTATATTTAGTCTGAAAGAACAGGAAGGAAGTCAGAATCTACCACGTTCAAACAGTTCAGTTTCTGTTCTTCACATACTGTAATATATTGTCTGAAAGAACAGGAAGGAAGTCAGAATCTACCACGTTCAAACAGTTCAGTTTCTGTTCTTCATATACTGTTATATATTGTCTGAAAGAACAGGAAGGAAGTCAGAATCTACCATGGGAGGGCTAGCGCAGAAATTCAAATCAAACCAAACTTACCCAGCAAAGAATATAAGGAAAAACCAGGAACTTGGTATTGCTATGATAAGCAGGAGGTCCTCAATGAGTCGTTGTTCTGCTAAGCGAAAAGGGACACACAGCATCACCAAGACGTTGGCTAAGAGGAAAACGGCTTTGGAAGGGTTGCCACTCTGAGAAGGAAATTGTTGATGTTATAACTTGGATCACATATTCCATACAACAAACAATTAAACTAATTCTAATCATTTGTAATCAAACACAGTTGAAAATTAATTTCATTGTTATCAAATGGGAGATTTTTGTACTTCACAATAAACCTACCTTGAGGCCTTTTCCTGGTTTGCTCCGTATATCACAATGTTAACGAAAGAAAGCAGATCTGATATTATTCCAACTACATTACATCGACATCTGTCCTGTGTGTATAGAAAATGATTACTTAATTTATCATACTGTTAAAATCACTGAATAAACTAATTTCATTAACTTTTAACTTACCAAACTGAAAAGGAAGCCCAGAAGTCCTTGTGCTTTGATTTCCTCCCCCTGTTGGAAGACAACAAAACTAACTGCACCTAGACAGGTTCCAAACTCTGCAGTGTATCGGCACTGGGGAAACCAGGAGTAGATACATATGCTACATGTTATTAGATTTTGAACAACTATTATCTACATTATTTCAATTTGTACTTTGATTCTAAACTATAGTAACTAATTAACAGTAAGGTGAATTGGACTTTTTATGGCTAAACTTGTGCTAAATCTGTGACTTCATAGAGAAAATTATAACGTCATCCTTAACTGTTAGGTAGTCTTAACTGTCCTATCCCTGATTCTTAACAGTCTTATCTCTGGTTATTAGGTGGCCTTAATATTCGTGTAACTGACTCTAATATAGTCTTAACTGTCTTATACCTGATTGTAAATTAGTCTTAACTGTCCTATCCCTGATCGTTAGGTAGTCTTAACTGTCCTATCCCTGATTGTAAATTAGTCTTAACTGTCCTATCCCTGATTGTAAGTTAGTCTTAACTGTCATATCCCTGATAGTGATAGTAAGTTGGTTTTAACTGTCATATCCCTGATAGTGATAGTAAATTGGTCTTAACTGTCCTATCCCTGATTGTTAGGTAGTCTTAACTGTCCTATCCCTGATTGTAAATTAGTCTTAACTGTCCTATCCCTGATTGTAAGTTAGCCTTAATTGTCCTATCCCTGACTGTAAGTTAGTCTTAACTGTCATGTCCCTGATAGTTATAATAAGTTGGTCTTAACTGTCACATCCCTGATAGTGATAGTAAGTTGGTCTTAACTGTCCTATCCCTGATAGTGATAGTAAGTTGGTCTTAACTTCCTATCCCTGATAGTGATAGTAAGTTGGTCTTAACTTCCTATCCCTGATCGTTAGTTAGCCTCAGTGGTCGTATAATCGATTATGAGTTAGTCTTAAAATACTTTTCTTTTAATGTTAAGGTGCTCTTATCTCTGGCTCTTGAGTAGCCTTAACTGTCCTATCCCTAAGTGTTGGATATCCTGAAAGATCTGAGAAATACTACATCACGTATGAAACTAGGAACGCTGGCGTTGAATACGTAAGTTTAATATATTTAAAACAGGGAAGTGTGAAAGCAAAAGACAAGTGTGATATTTCTGAGAGCAGTAAAAGGATTTCTAAAAAATATAATGTTTTCTAAAGCATCTGATATTCACAGAACTACCCCAGGGGATCTAAAGCATCTGATATTCACACAACTAACCACAGGGGATCTAAAGCATCTGATATTCACAGAACTACCCCAGGGGATCTAAAGCATCTGATATTCATACAACTAACCACAGGGGATCTAAAGCATCTGATATTCACAGAACTACCCCAGGGGATCTAAAGCATCTGATATTCATACAACTATCCCAAAGGATCTAAAGCATCTGATATTCACACAACTGACCACAGGGGATCAAAGCATCTGATATTCACACAACTAACCCCAGGGGATCTAAAGCAGCGGACATTCACACAACTACCCCAAAGGATCTAAAGCATCTGATATTCACACAACTAACCACATGGGATGTAAAGCATCTGATATTCACACAACTAACCACAGGGGATCTAAAGCATCTGATATTCGCACAACTAACCACAGGGGATCTACAGCATCTGATATTCACACAACTAGCCCCAGAAGATCTAAAGCAGCTGATATTCACACAACTACCCCAGGGGATCTAAAGCAGCGGATATTCACACAACTAACCCCAGGAGATCTAAAGCAGCGGATATTCACACAACTAACCCCAGGAGATCTAAAGCAGCGGATATTCACACAACTACCCCAAAGGATCTAAAGCATCTGATATTCACACAACTACCCCTGGGGATCAAAAGCAGCGGATATTCACACAACTACCCCAAAGGATCTAAAGTATCTGTTATTCACACAACTACCCCAGGGGATCTAAAGCAGCTGATATTCACACAACTACCCCAGGGGATCTAAAGCAGTTTATATTCACACAACTACCCCAGGGGATCTAAAGCAGCTGATATTCACACAACTACCGCAGGGGATCTAAAGCAGCTGATATTCACACAACTACCCCAGGGGATCTAAAGCAGCTGATATTCACACAACTACTCCAGGGGATCTAAAGCAGCTGATATTCACACAACTACCCCAGGGGATCTAAAGCAGCTGATATTCACACAATTACCCCAGGGGATCGTATTTGTCAATGTAAAGACAAGGTGTAATTGAAAACATATCAATGTAGGTAAAGATCGCCTTTGACAAGTAAATTAGGATCGAGTGTGACACTAAGTTAAGACTGCTTCAACACTAAGTTAAGACTGCTTCAACACTAAGTTAAGACTGCTTCAACACTAAGTTAGGTATGCTTCAACACTAAGTTAGGTCTGCTTCAACACTAAGTTAAGTCTGCTTCAACACTAAGTTAAGACTGCTTCAACACTAAGTTAGGTCTGCTTCAACACTAAGTTAGGTCTGCTTCAACACTAAGTTAAGACTGCTTCAACACTAAGTTAAGACTGCTTCAACACTAAGTTAAGACTGCTTCAACACTAAGTTAGGTCTGCTTCAACACTAAGTTAAGACTGCTTCAACACTAAGTTAAGACTGCTTCAACACTAAGTTAGGTCTGCTTCAACACTAAGTTAAGACTGTTTCAACACTAACTTATAGGATCTTCATTGATATTAACTTAAGGTCAATAAGGTAAGATCGTTTTTGAAATTAAAATTGAAAGATTTTTTAAACGGGAAAATATGTAAATATTCAGTTTAATTTTACTCAGGCAGGATATATTGTCGATTCCTTTTTTATCATTAGATAAAAATTAACCTTATCGTCCTTATTAAAGATAACATAAACAAAATAATCACAATTATTAATTGTTAGAATTTAAATATTGAAATAGAAGCTGTCTTAACCCTAAGGAAGCTGTGAGAACACAATAGACTAGTTTAAATAATGGAAATAGAAGCTGTCTTAACACCAAGGAAGCTGTGAGAATACAATAGACTAGTTTAAATAATGAAATAGAAGCTGTCTTAACCACAAGGAAGCTGTGAGAACACAATAGACTAATTTAAATAATGAAATAGAAGCTGTCTTAACTCTAAGGAAGCTGTGAGAACAAAATAGACTAGTTTAAATAATGAAATAGAAGCTGTCTTAACTCTAAGGAAGCTGTGAGAACACAATAGACTAGTTTAAATAATGAAATAGAAGCTGTCTTAACCCCAAGAAAGCTGTAAGAACACAATAGACTAGTTTAAATAATGAAATAGAAGCTGTCTTAACCCTAAAGAAGCTGTGAGAACACAATAGACTAGTTTAAATAATGAAATAGAAGCTGTCTTAACCCTAAAGAAGCTGCGACAACACAATAGACTAGTTTAAATAATGAAATAGAAGCTGTCTTAACCCTAAGGAAGCTGCGACAACACAATAGACTAGTTTAAATAATGAAATAGAAGCTGTCTTAACCACAAGGAAGCTGTAAGAATACAATAGACTAGTTTAAATAATGAAATAGAAGCTGTCTTAACCCCAAGGAAGCTGTAAGAACAAAATAGACTAGTTTAAATAATGAAATAGAAGCTGTCTTAACTCTAAGGAAGCTGTGAGAATACAATAGACTAGTTTAAATAATGAAATAGAAGCTGTCTTAACTCTAAGGAAGCTGTGAGAATACAATAGACTAGTTTAAATAATGAAATAGAAGCTGTCTTAACCCTAAGGAAGCTGTGAGAGTACAATAGACGAGTTTCTCACGATATTCCTGCTCTGTCGACCGAAATAAACCTGCTAGGTTGTAAATAACTTGTTATACTTCCGTTTGCTGCTATATTAAAGTTGTATCCTAGTCTTACAGTATTCCCTACAGGCTCACTTGAAACGATTTCTCTCCAACCCTTAAATCAATTTTAAAAAATTGCTATTGTTTAAAACTGGATGTCTTGTATCTATGTTAGAGGCTTCTCTCTTCATGGTAACGTGTGTAATAGAGATGGTAACATGGCTGGTTATATAAGCTACAGTAGAACTGCTGTATTACGAGCTTGATTTTAATATTTAACGACTTTATCACCTTCGTTTTAACAAAGTGAAATATGTGTTTAGTATATACGTTTGTCTTACAGTCCTTGTTACCATAGTTACCCTCTTGTAATATTACTTACGATTGAACGTGCGTCTGTACCGAACAACCCTTCCGCTGGTGGAGGGCGAAGATACACTGCCATGCTAAGAGCGATAAGGTGGAGAAAAGTAATAGCCAGCCTCTTTAAGAACTCATTCTGAAATAAAGACATAATTAAATAAATTACACAACTTTCTTCGTTTTAGTGGTGATTAGAACAAATAACTAATAATTTTAGGTATTCAGTGAGTTTATAAAACATTTGATTATAGGTTATCTTGGTAAGATTAAGTGTTCAGTGAGTTTATAAGACATTTTATTATAGATTATCTTGGTAAGATTAAGTGTTCAGTGAGTTTATAAAACATTTGATTATAGGTTATCCTGGTAAGATTAAGTGTTCAGTGAGTTTATAAGACATTTGATTATAGATTATCTTGGTAAGATTAAGTGTTCAGTTAGTTTATAAAACATTTGATTATAGATTATCCTGGTAAGATTAAGTGTTCAGTGAGTTTATAAGACATTTGATTATAGATTATCTTGGTAAGATTAAGTGTTCAGTGAGATTATAAAACATTTGATTATAGATTATCCTGGTAAGATTAAGTGTTCAGTGAGTTTATAAGACATTTTATTATAGAGTATCTTGGTAAGATTAAGTGTTCAGTGAGTTTATGAAACATTTGATTATAGAGTATCTTGGTAAGATTAAGTGTTCAGTGAGTTTATAAGACATTTGATTATAGAGTATCTTGGTAAGATTAAGTGTTCAGTGAGTTTATAAAACATTTCATTATAGATTATCCTGGGAAGATTAAGTGTTCAGTGAGTTTATAAGACATTTGATTATAGATTATCTGGTAAGATTAAGTGTTCAGTGAGTTTATAAGACATCTTATTATAGATTATCCTGGTAAGATTAAGTGTTCAGTGAGTTTATAAGACATTTGATTATAGATTATCTTGGTAAGATTAAGTGTTCAGTGAGTTTATAAAACATTTGATTATAGAGTATCTTGGTAAGATTAAGTGTTCAGTGAGTTTATAAGACATTTGATTATAGATTATCTTGGTAAGATTAAGTGTTCAGTGAGTTTATAAAACATTTGATTATAGATTATCTTGGTAAGATTAAGTGTTCAGTGAGTTTATAAAACATTTGATTATAGATTATCTTGGTTAGATTAAGTGTTCAGTGAGTTT